AGTTGTCTGCACGTTAGTTTGAGCATGTGGTCTAAGACTCGATGGTGTGTGTGATGCCGACTCAAAGACACTGCATGAGGAAGAAAAGCTCAAAAATATTCTGGGAAAAAAATGCTCTCTCTTTTCCAGTTCTCCATTCTTTCCACTCTCAAATTGTTTTGCCTGCTGTAAACTACAATCACTCCCTCTAAACTTGTTTTTAATCCTTCATATAAACGTATGTATGTATTGATAAGTCATATCTTGCTCTTTTGGTTTTCCTAAGTGCATTACTTCAACAAATATTTGTTGAAGGCTTTCTATGTGCCAGGAACTGTCCTAGGGGCTTGGGATAAGCTGTGAGCCCAAAAGGCAAAAGTACTTGACCCCATGGAGTTTACAATTTAGTTGGCAGTGGGGGACAGACAATAAACAATATAAATAAGCAAGACATTGTATTTATTTAGCTAAAAATTTTTTATTGAAGTATAGTCGGTTTACAATGTGTTAATTTCTGGTGTACAGCACAGTGATTCGGTTAGACACACACATGCACATATTCTTTTTCATTATAGGCTATAGAAGGTATTGAATATAGTTCCCTGTGCTATACAGTAGGACCTTGCTGTTTATCTATTTTACATATAGTAGTGCATATGTGCAAATCCCAAACTCCCAATTTATCCCTCTACCCCCTCCTTTCCCCACTGGTAACCACAAGTTTGTTTTCTAAAGACGTTGTATTTAAATGGCAAATGAGCTCTATGAAAAAAAAATCAGAAAGGGTGCCAGGGGATGTAGTAAACAGCCAGGGAAACTTCACTGTCCAAGAGGACATTTGAGCTAGGGTTTGAAAGAGGTTTAAGTTAAGTCCTTGGGAATCTGGGGTAAGAGCATTCTGGGCAGAAGCAATAGCCCATGCAAAGGTCCTGTGGCAGGCATGTGTCTGGCACAGTCAAGGACAAGTAAGGAGGCCAGTGTGACTGAGTACAGGACGTAGCAAAAAGGGAATTAGTCAAGGAGCTGGGAAAGGTAGCAGAGGGCCAGATAGGTAAGCCTTTAAAGACCACTGTAAGAACTTTGCCTTTCTCTTGGAGATAGAAACCAACAGAGAGTTTTGAGTAGAAGGTTGACATGATTTGATTTGAACATTTCCCAGGATCACTCTGGCTGTTGTGCTGGAAATATCTAGGGGACAAGAGGGGAAGTCAGACAACCACTTAGCAAGGTAATGTGGCCATCCAGGTGAGGGATGATGCTGGCCAAGATGCAGGACGGGGACAGAGAACATAATGTGATCAGATTCTGGATATTTTTAACAGCTTTACTGAAGAATAATTTACATACAATAAAAAGCACTCATTTTAAGTGCTCAGTTCAACGATTTGTAGAGCGTTTGTACAGAGTTTTAGAGTTGGGCACTCATCACTGCAATCCAACTATAGAACATCTCCATCACCCCAGCTGGATCCCTTGTGCCCATGAGCAGTTACTGCCCAACCCCACACCCAGCCCCTGGGAACTACTCATCTACTTTCTGTCTCTGTGGGTTGGCCTATTCTGGAAGTTTCATATAAATGGACCGGCTTTCTTCACTTAGCAAATGTTTCCAAAGTGCAGCCTTGCTATATAGCATGTATCAGTCCTTCATTCCTTCATATTACTGAACAGTATTTCTTTTGAATGAATAGACCATATTTTGTTCATCCATTAACCAGCTGCTGCACATCTGGATTGTTCCCACTTTTTTGACTATTTTGAGTAATACTGCTATGAACAGTCACATGCAAGTCTCTGGACGTGTTTTCACTTCTCTTGGATATGTACCAAGGTGCAGAATTGCTGGGTCGTACAGTACATCCTGGTTTAACTTCTTAAGAAACTGCCAAGCTATTTTCCAAAGTGGCTGCACCATACTACATTCCCACCAGCACTGTACAGGGGCTCCAATTTCTCTACCTCCTCTCCAACATCTGTTGTCTTCCCAGTTTTTGATTGTAGCAATCCTAGTGGGGGTGAGATGGCATCTCGTGCCGGTTTTGATTTGCATTTCCCTAATGACTAATGATGTTGGGTATCTTTTCACAGGCTTACTGGCCATCCCAGTGTCTTCTTTCATCTTCTTTGGTGAAGTGTCTATTCAAATCTTTTGCCCATTTTTGAGCTGGGCTTCTGGGTATATATTTGGAATAGAACCAGCAGGATTTGCCGACTGATTGGAAGTTCGATGGGGAAGAGAGGCATCCATCATGCCTCCCAGGTTTTCAGCTCAAGTTATACAGGTATGGAATTGCCCTGAAGTGGACAAGCGGTACTGAAGAGAAGATCAGAAGCTTGATTTTAAACATGTTAAGGTTGAGATGCTTATTAGATATCCAAGCAGAGTTTTCAAGTAGGCTGTTAGATTTATGGGCCTGGAATTCAGAGGAGAGATGCAAGCCTGAAGGTAAGGAACTGAAGTCATCAGCATATAGATGGTACAGAGAGCCATGGAACTAGACAAATCAACAAAGGAATGAATGTAGATATCGAAGGTGATCAAGGGCTAAATTCTGGACACTCCAAAGTTAAGAGATCAGGAAAATAATGAGGAAGCAGCAAATAACACTGAGACAGGGTGGCCAGTAAGAGGGAAAACCAGAGAAAGTGTGACCTATTACAAGTCACGTGGGAAAAAAAAGTGTTCTCAAGAAGGAAGCTAGTGTGTCAATTGCTGCTGATAGGTTTCAGGGCTGAGAACTGTCCCTTGGATTTAGCTACATGGAGGATGGAGATGGCTGGTGACCAAGACAAGTGGAAAGACCAGTGTTGGCTAGGAACTGGGGCATTTCACCCAACGGTGTAAGTGGGAAGGCACAGTTCATCAGCTCAGTTGCTGTGGACAGGCCAGCATTTTGCAAGCTGGAACATGTAACAGATGAATCACTGATGACTTGGTGAAAAGACAGATTTGGATTCAAGAGGTCTGGGATGGGGCCCCCGTTTCTGTATTTGCCCCCAGGTGATGCTGATGCCGCTGATTCCAGGGCCTCACTGTGAGCAACGAGAGAGTGCAGCTGATTTTCTCTGCAGCTTCTTTTCTGAATACAGATCTAACCAGGGACATAAATGGGAACTGCTCTGGATTGATTCTGGCTGATTTGCTATGGCACAAGGGCTTGATGTCACTGACAGTGTAGCTCAAATCTGGGACTTGAGAACTAGGGAAGAAACATAAGGAGCAATGATTGTGGATGCAAGCTTTAGCCCTGCTTGTTGTATGACTGATAGGAGGGGTCTTCTATGCAGAAATGCAGAGGCCAGGGCCTAGCACACTCCCTGGACAGAGGCTGCTGCCTGCTGGATGACTCCTTTTTATCTGTCAGTGTGAACTGGTGGGACACCACCTGGAAGGCCCCTGTGAGGCAGACTGCCATTATTTCTCCATTATACGTAAGAGTAACTGGGATGCTAAAGGTTCAGAACGACTCACTGGGATAAATATCCAATAGAGATCCTGTTTCCAATTCCCTCCCTCGGTCCGTTTGATTTTCTCAGTTGTATATATTGTCAGAATTTTCCCATTATACATTATTACAAGGTATTGAATATAGTTCCCTGTGCTATAGGTCCTTGTTATTTATCTATTTTATATAGTCTCTATTTGTCATTCTCAAACTCTTAATTTATCCCTCCCCACTCATGTTCTCTCAGGCAACCACAAATTTGTTTTCTACGTCTGAGTCTTTTCTCTTTTGTAAATAAGTTCATTTGTATCATCTACTTATATGCCTCATGTAAGTGATATCATGTGATATTTGTCTTTCTCTGACTTACTTCACTTAGTCTGATAATCTCTAGGTCCATCCATGTTGCTGCCAATGGCATTTTTCATTCTTTTTTTATGGCTGAGCAATATTCCATTGTGGATATATATTACCACTTCTTTATCCATTCATCTGTTGATGCATTTGATTTTTTAAAATTATTTATTTTTTATTTTATTTTTGGGGAGGAGGTAATTAGGTTTACTTATGTTTGGAGGAAGTACTGGGGATTGAACCCAGGACTCTGTGTATGTTAAGCATGTGCTCTACCACTTGAGCTACACCCTTCCCCTACATTTGATTTTTTTTATAGTAGTTTATTGAGATAGAACTCACACACCATAGAATTCACCCATTTAAAGGGTATAATTCAATGGTGTTTAGCATATTCACTGAGTTGTGCAACCATCACCACAATCAATTTTTGACCTTTTTCATCACCTCCCCAAAGGAGCCCCCATGCCCTTTAGCCATTGTCTCATTTAAAAATGACAATGAAATCCAGTAAAATGTCTGGACACTTTCTGCTCAGCAATTTGTGAGATTTCACAAAGCCAGGGGGTGAAACTCCATCTGCTGTAGTGAAAAAACACTACAGAGATGGAAGTCCTCAGTCTGAGAAGACACTAAAGATGAGACCAGATGGCCTGGTGGACTCAGAGATGCCAACACACGGTCCACTGAAACCCGGAAATTCTTTCCTGTCAGATGTGATGAACATCTACTTCAGCTGACCCCGACAGAGGGCACATGGTTCCCTGGCCGGGGCACAGAGTGAAGTGGGACACTGGCTGGACAGCCCTGGCTACGCTGTGGCTGGGGGACAAAAATGGAAAGTGGTTTGCAGCCCTGAGGCTTCAGTCACTCATGGTCAGGCACCCCAGGGGATTCCAGCCAGGTGACTCGGCCCCTTCCCGGCACCCTTGAAAATGTCTCAATTTTGTGTTTCAACTCACAATGGTGAAATCAGCAAATTATGATACCATTTTGATTATTTAAAAGCAACTACTGGGAGCTCTCTCTGTTTACACACATTCCAAAACTGAATATATTACAAAAATAATGAGGTTTCTGAAGGGGTCATGTTTCCATTTGCTTATTAATTATATCTGTAACTTTTCCCTGCTTCAGATTTTTAAAAAATATATGTCATCATATGAAAAAGATTAATGACTACTTGGAACCTATTCTTATTTGTACCTTACTTACATTTAAAAAAAAAAAGCAAGAATATGTCCAACAAATTTATTTTAATTCTATTTTGTTTCACTGTCTTCCAAGGACGTCTGTGATAATTTAACAACGGGTACAAGACAGCTTGGCTATTTCCTCACAATTGATTATTATCTGTGTTACATACTCTCCCCTAGCTCATAGAGGAAGAGGATGAAAACGTAAAGGCCGCTATATTTGATAGGAAATGGTATTTTAAACCGCACCCATAAGCCGCCTCTCTCTCTTCCTCCTCTTCAATGGCCCGCACTCTGTCTATGGAGCGTGTACCTACTTTTACTTTAACCTGAGCACCTAACCCTCACACCTCGTGGCCTTTCTCTGGCCTTTCGAAACAGCTTACACACTATGCAGTATGTATTCCTCTAAATCAATCTACCTTTACTCAAAAAAAACCCCCCTGCATTTATACACTTACAGTTGTCACATTCATAAAAAACATAGAATATATAAATGTCCCTTTAAAATTACATGTTTTCGGTTTTTAAAATTCAAGTATTTAAAAAATCACTTACTTTTTAGAAAACTAGACAAATCACATGGGTGCCACAAGAAGGATCAGGAAGTTTCCCCTGCATCAGGAGAGCCGGCAACCCCTGCCAAGTGTTCCTGGCTGGTCTCTCCACGGCGGGAGGAGTGCACAGCACTGTGCTAAGGTGGACTCTGTAAACCACACGCTCCTGTCACTGAAAAAAAAACCACAATTGAAAACCAGTTGTACTTTGTGTGGAATTAACAGGAAGCTGGGACATTTCTGGAAGCAAAGTTATGTGCAAAAAACCCAAACCCCACCTGTTTATTAGGAACAGTCCTGGCTTTGTCTTTGTGTACCCTTGGGCAAGTAACAATCTCTCGCAGCCTGTATTCTCATCTCTAAAATGCTGGCAGGGTACTTATGAAGATTAAATGAGATGCTGTACATAAAGTGCTAGGAATTTAGCAAATCAGGTTCCCACTTCCTCTGCCTGGCTAACTTCATCTCAAGATTTACCCTAAGGGTTGCAGCCTTTGTAAAGCCCTCCCTGGCCCTCCCAGGTCAGGCATCAGGCATCAGGCATCAGGCATCATGCTCACCTCTTCGCCCTCCGCACCTGGCAAAGTATAAAGTGATGTGCAATCATGACTGATGAGCATTTCTGAAAGCACAGTAACATGTCTGGAAATCTAATTTTAAATAACAATGCAAATGGGATTATATGAAGTTGTCATTGGTTCTTCCTTCAGATTGTGGGCTCTTCTGAAAGCGAGAAGGCACCTTTTATAATCTAGGTACTTACAGTAAATACTGATGAGGGATATAAAAATATTTCAGTAAAATACTTTGCGTTTACTGGGAAGTTATAAATAACAAAGCAATCTGACCTAAAAGACGAAGGCCCAGCCCTCGCAAAGGCAGTGGAGCGCTGCCAGCTGCAGGCTTCCTGACTGGTGTTTAGAAATGGTACTAGGGAATGAAAGGAACCTCTCATCACAGGAAGTGCTCAGAGAAGAGACAGAGCTGCAATTGTATCTCACTTTCTATCTCAAAAAAAGTAACATGGAGAAAAGGAGAGTGATGTGCGAAGTTCCGTGAAGAGAGTCCTTCAACATTCAGGTATAACAACTGATGCTTATGCCCTGTGCAGTTATCACCCCGTAACCATGGCAACCAGGATGTAGGCTCTACTTGTGCTGAATTTCTGTGCTGTTTGTTGTTTTTTCTTATGAGTCTTGGGTTGGGAATTCAGGGTTGATTGTATGAAACAATCATTGGCAAAACTGTCAATGAAGGGAAGGAAAAAAATCTTTTTTCCTCTCACCATCGAGGTTCCTGGCTGGGGCTCCAATAACAAAAGACAGATTGACAAGAAGAAAGCAAACATGTGTACTTAATATATTTAGTTTTATGTGACCTGGGAGCCTTCATAAGGAAATGAAGACCCAAAGAAACAGTTACACGGGAGTGTTTTTATACTAGGTTTGAGGAAGAGTGGGAAGTCGTGGGGAAATGTGAAAGGACAAAGTGCATGAGCTAACGGTCAACTGAGGGAGACCCAGCAATGCTTCTGTGTTCAGATGCCCCCCAGCGTCCCTCATCTGTACAGATAAGGATGCTCCCTTCCTCCAGTGTGGGGAGGGCACCTCTCACTCAAGGGTCTTACGACCTGCCTGAGGGGAAGGTCAGAGAGTCCTTCTAGCACCTGCCATTTCTCAAGTTCCTTCAGCTTGAAATAGTTACTGTGCAAAAGTGCCAGACTTTGGGGTAGTGTGTCCTCAATCCCATCACCAAGGACTTTGTCAACTATGAGGACACAGGGAGACCAGTCTTTGTGTACTCGTTTGAAGCCAGTTAAATGACATTTTGACATCTGGGCCATTGCTCCGGCCACCTAGCTGGTGACCCTGTGACTGTCCTTGCTTCCCTCCCCATCTAACTTAACATGGCAGCCAGGGGGACCCTTCCTCAAGGGCATTCAAATCTTATCACTACCAACCCCTTTGCTTCAATGGCTTCCCAGCAAGCTTGGAAAAAATCCCAAAGTCCTGACCATGACCAACCGGGGCCCTCACAAACCAGAAGGCTCTTAGAAGTCACCTCTCATCCTTCTGCCCCTTGCCATTGTACAGCAGCTCCGGTGGAATCTTCCGGTGCCTGGTCTATGTCAGGAACCCTCCCATCCTGGGGCCTTTGTACTTGCTGCTCCCGTAAAAATGATTTTAAATTAAATGAAAGCTCCTTTACCCCATAAGCAATTTAAAAGAAAAACCCTTTCTTTTTAGGAGATAAAGCATAGGATGTAAAAGAATTATGATCTCTGCTGAGATGATGTAATGCTCTCTCATTGACTAAAAGGAAAAAACCCAGATGACTGTTTTCTGATCTCCAGTTGCGAAAGTCACTGACAAAGTTGAAACGAAATGAGGAAGACTCCCCAGATTTTTATATCTTGGAGAGTAAAGAAATTTCCATCTCAAGTGCTTTCATTTGTCTGAAAAGTAGGTTTGCAAAATTCCAGTATAAATAAAAACTACCAACCCCCCCCTAAAAACACACACGAAAAACCCCCCAAACCAAAAAACAAACTCTGACATGAACTAATCACACATGGTTTTCATGTGCTGTGCTCTTTCATAACCACTGAATAGGCTTCAAGATCATTCCGAGTCACATGAAACCGCCCTCTGTGAAACTTGAAGTTTTAGACGACTTGGCAAGGCTTTCTTTAAAAGACCCTCTGGGACATCACACCACCAGTCCTGGGAAGCCATGGGGGTTGAAGGCGTCAAAAGAGAATTCACACTTGATGGCCTCAAGCAGATTTCTTCAAAGCCATTTGAAAACGCACATGTATTTCAGTTTTCTGCACCTTTAGGGGAATTCCATCATCAGACAGTCAAACTGTGCCTTCAGCTAGGCCTTCAGAACTCTGACAAAGGAAGTTAGGAGAGTGAGGAGAAAGGAACGGGTGAGAATGTGTAGGTTTGTAGGTAACTCACAAGTAAACTAGGTAAAACTCTAAAAATTAAACTTCTATGCATTTTTAAAAGAGACAAAAAATCAGCCGTAATCACATAGGCTTGTTGTAGTTAATCATGATACAGATTGGTTAAACACTGTTTACAAAGGCCTGGAAGAAGTAATTTCCTCTTCACTTGTTAGAGAAATGTAGGTAGATTCAAAGGCCGAGGCAATGGACTTCCTCTGACAGATGAATGCCTATTTTTACAAAAGCAAAATTGGAACTTCAGACCTCAAGGGGTTCTGAGGATGCCCCCCTCAAAATATGCTGTCCTGGCACAAGGATCATTCTGAGCCGAAAGTAAATGAGAAAAGGCAAGCACAGGATGAGCTCTCTGCCCTCCCCTTATCTGCCTGAGAGCAGAACCTAAGTTCCCCTTGTGAATTCCCCACCAGGAAGAGGGGAACCACCGCATCACTGGAGGCAAAATGGCTCCAAGAAGGATCTACACAAACAAATCTTAACTAAATGACCATCATCTTCCATTCGTTCCCCCCATCATTTACCTTCCCACAGTTTGCTGCCCCCAAAAGCCTAAAGCCCTTTTCCTTTGTCTTGTTACTTCTCTACAAATGTATTATGGTTTGTTCAAATGCTACAGAAGCCCAAGTTCTAACCATCTCTTTGAGTTACTCATCACTGACTTTCTCCTGCAGCTATGTGTGCTGCGTGTATAAATAAACTACTTTTCTCTTGTTTACCTGTCTTTTGTCGGTCCTATTTGCAGGGTCTCAGCTATAGATCCTAGGGTTTTTTTTTTTTCTCTTCTGTAGGCCTTCAGAACAGGAAGGCTCCCTAACATCAGAAGCCAAACGACAAAAAGAGTCTATCTTTATACCCTGGAGAAGTTGCATGAAGGAAAAAAAAATACACAACACCTCTGACTAAGCAAGAGGATGCAAAACAAAATTCTAACTGTAGGATTAGTCAGAGGGTTACCTTTCAGGGTTCAAGAGAGACCTGTAGAGTGAGAAGGGAAAAGAAAGGAGAAAATAACAAAGCTCTCATTCCCCAGTGCTGGAGCCTAAAGACAGTGTTCATTTCATCCCATGTCTCCAGGACTGTTTCTCTAAAGTCAATATTGAAGCAGTCTGGGACGGTGAATTTCCAGGAAGAAAATCTGGGAGCTGTTCAAGTTGGGCTATGTATGGTTGTGTCACTTGGGCAAGTCATGGCACCTCTGTGGATATTTCCTCAACTGTGAAGTGTACAGAAGAACCTTCTTTTCTTAAAGGTGTGAAAGGATCATGTGACAGCCTGTGGATGAGCAGTTCTCAACTCCGGCTGCATCTTACAATATCTTGAGGAAATTAACTACACAGTCAATCAATAAATATAGCTTGAGGAATTAAGACAGAAATGCTGATGCCTGGGTTGCGTCCCATAGATCCAGATGTAACCGTTCCAGGGTGGGCCCTCCACATCCGTGGGTTTTCAAAACTCCCCAGATGATGCTAATATGCATCCAGTGCTGAGAACTATTGCTGCGGAAGCACCTTTCCAAATATCCTGAAGAGGATCACCCAGGGATCCTGCCAAAATGTGGATGTAGATTTGGATTCTGTACTGTGGGGCCTGAGAGTCTGCATTTCGAACAGACTCCAGGGTTATGCTGAGCAGCTTAAGTACTAAATGGCCACAAAGTACAATGCAGGGGGGAGGGTAATAGCTCAGCGGTAGAGCACGTGCTTAGCATGCACAAGGTCCTGGGTTCAATTCCTAGTACCTCCATTAAAATAATAATAATAAAATTGTAGGGTGCAATGTTAAAAAAAAAGAGCCAATGCAACAGGCACCCACTCTCTCTCCCTAAACTATCAACTTTTAGTGACAGTCGTGTGAGCTTCAGCTAATGACTCTCTTTCCTTCTTTGTAGGATTGCTTTAAGAATAGTGTATAAGATTTTAGGAACAAGCATAAAAGGCTGGTACAAAAACAGGCACCCCTCCAGTTATCTGTTAAGAGAACACCTACGTATAACTATAAGCACACCCACTTGCTGTGGTACCACTGCTCCCCACATTCACTACAGATGACATAGGTCATCTGTTCCTCATCTGGCTGTGAGTTCCGCACCCAGCTGGGAAGGAAGAGAGTCCCTCTGGAGATCACGGTGACTTTGCAGTTGAATTTCTCACAGCGTCTGCATTTTATGTTCCTGGTCTGTGTGCCCTCCACCACTTGGGGAAGGGAATGTTCTCGTATGCAAGCTTCTGTGTAGGAGGCTCTCAGCTGCTTCAGTTCCTTGCTTGCCATGTCCATGATGGTCATTTCGGCAAATTCTCTTGGGGACATGGTCCCAGAGAGCAAGTTTTGTCTTAAGTGAGTGTTTTGGGGGTTCTTCAGATTGGCCACTTTGCTTCGCACACAAGCTTTATATTTTCTGAGGTTCTTCGAGTAAAGGGTAAAAAGGTGCTCTTCGATTTCTTGTGCAAAGCTGCGCCACAGATCGGCTCTGGGCGGATCTGCGGGAAAACGAGCGAGAGCTTCATACAGCAGCTCGGTGCATTTAGCTCTGACGGGCACCACGGGAGCTGGCAGCTCGCCCGCTCTCTTGTCGGCGGGTTTAGCGTCACCAGCCCCAGCACGCGCTGCCTCAGGCTCCACTCCACCAGGGCTATTTTCCGGCACGGACACTGCAGCGGCTACTGCAACGTCTTGGGATGCTTGCAGAGAATTAGAGCTGGAGCGGCCCCGGACCTCATCCTGGTTTAGGTCAGGAGAAAGCCCTTGATTTTCTTCTGGATTTCCACCTGAAGGGAACAGTTTAGGGCTACCCCTGGGTTTGCAGTGAGTATCCTGATACAGAGCTTTCCACTTGGACAGCAAACATTTGGCTTTCTTTTTCAAAGGCACCGTGGGGCAGTTCTTGAGGACTGTGTACACGGCCCTGACCACCTCTGTCTCCTGGAGATGCTCCTTAGTCACACAAAGAGATTCTAGCTCAGTAAGGGGGTTGCCAAGATCCTCAAAATTCCTTTTAGACATCAGTTGCTCAATAAGGGAAGCTCTGGCAGCTATCTGCTTCTTCTCAGACATCCTTTCGGCTGCAAAGAAAAGAGAAGAGAGGTTTCCGTTTTCTCAAGCTTGCGTTTGCCAGTCGCAGTTTCCTGATGAGACCATAGTGCTCTCTGCCAGCTACCTAGGCAGTGTTCTCTGAAAGAGTTAGGTAATAAAAATGGGTGCAACACGTTAGAAAATGCAACCTGCAATGCAGTATGGTTTTGTTTCAAAAGTTTGATTCTCTATAGTTTAAAAAAAAGGGGGGGCCCTCTAAACAGCTTCTGCAGTAACAGTTGCTTAAAAGAGGCTGGCTGAAAGATCTGCTGTAACTTTTCCATCGCTAATTGTACAAATCGCTGATCTTTCCAGATCAAAATGAGTCAGCTCCTTGGTGTGGAATCTGGTGGTTATGTTTGGGATGACATCACGCCCGTCTCAGCGTCAACAGGGGAAGGCCGAGGAGGCTGGACTGCTTTCCCCCATGTTCAGCTATGGAACTCAACTCCTTGTTGATTTTATAGTATTTCGGGAGTACTTTTCAGAAAATAAAAGCATGAGGCACAGGGTGAAAAGGGGATGCTGTTTAGCTGTCCAGAGGAATCTTAAGAAATGGTGAGAGAGCACCGGTGGGGAGGCAGCTGGACCCAGGTCAGATGGGCCTCAAAAGTCAACAAGCCACACTGTGCTGACATCTGAGACTTCTGAACAATGGGGTAAAGGTTCAGACTATGCAATCCAGGGGGCTTATGACTTTGGACCAACTGGCCAGAGTTTGTGTCCATTAACTTCTTCCTTCTTTTTTTTTAACCTTTCAGGTGTAAAAAGTTCCTTAATGGTTATGTCTGTGTGAATCTCATCCTGGGCAAGCAAACGTTTACTTTATCTAACCAGTCTATATTTTTCTCTCCATGTCATGCATATAACTTTGCCTACAAAATACTTGTGGATCTAAATCTGCCCATTTGGGTCTAAATGTGAACCTAAGCATCTTGGTGGCAGGGATGCTGCCTTTTCAAAGACCCATGGGCTCTCATTTTATAGCGCTCGATAGTAAGTAACTATCACTGAACACACACAGGCTAACAACACTGAAGCGATTAGAGAGAGAAGGAATGCAGCCTTCCTAGACATCATCTGATAAGTGCTATAAAATGTCAGGTCCTTTTAGTCAGAAATTCTACTTCTACAAATTTACTTTAAGGAAATGAGAGATGCGGAGGCTGTACATGTAAGAATTTTTTTCAAATGTAGAAGGAACTATTAGGTTCCAAATGGTTAGACCTGCACATGAACGTTAACAGCAGCGTTATTCATAAAAGACAAAAAGTGGAAACAGTAAGCTATAATGCAAAAGAATATGAAAATGAATGTATGTGTGTATACGTATGACTGGAACACGATGCTGTACGCCAGACATTGGCACAACATTGTAAACTGACTATACTTTAATAAAAAAAATTTTTTTAAAGTGGAAACAATCCAAATGTCTATCAACTGAGGAACAGATAAACAAAATGTAGTGTACCCATACAACGGAATGTTATTTGTCAATAAAGTGAAATTCTGATACACACTACAACATGGATGAGCCTTGAAAATGCTATGCTAAATTAAAGACACAGAAGACCACATGTGGTGTGATTCCATTCACATGAAATGTCCAGAACAGGCAAATCTAAAGAGACAGAAAGTAAATCAGTGGTAGACCAGGGCTGGGATAGAGGGAAGGGGGGAACGGGGAGGCAGAATGAAGAGCTGGGAAGCTACTAATGGGTACAGAGCTTTTCTTGGGGGAGGTGAAAAAGCTTCTCTAAAGCTGACTGTGGTGCTGGCTGCACAACTGTGAATACGCTAAAAGCCACTGAACAGGTGAGCTGTATGGGATATACATCGTATCTGAACAACGTTGTTATTTAACAACATCTAGGGTCTGATCCAGATTTTTCTTTAAAAATCACATGTGAAGAGAAAAGGCCGAAAATAGATACAAATAATTTCAGACAGGCATTTTCTGAATGGTAAGATTTTAAGTGATTTTTAAAAAACTAATTAATTAATTTTTTAATGGAGGTACTGGGGATCGAACCCTGGACCTCATGCAAGCTAAGCATGAGCTTTACCACTGAGCTATTACCCTCCCCTCCTTACGTGATTTCTGCTTGTTCTTTTACTCTTTTCTGTATTTTCTATAGTGAGCATGTACTATTTTCATAATCAGAAAAGTTACTAGTCTAATATAATTTCACGAGAAGCCCTATACATTTACGATATTTGCCCATTGAAAAATGGTGTGGTAAACAGATCAATCAACTTCTACCTCCCTCTGGAATCAGGACACCAGGAAGGGGCCAACTCAGCTGGGGCTCTGCATTCGGACCAACACTCATGATTTCCTCACAAGTCCGCTGCTGCATCGGAAACAGTTCACTCTCCCCTCAAACTCTGTCCGCGAACAGGAAGAATTACGTACCCAGGGCCACAACTCTGAGGCTCCTACTGGTGTTTCCCCACTGGACAGCTCAGAGGTGACCCAGACACCGAGGCTTGCGTTTTTACCCTGGATGGAGCTGGAGGGTAGACCATCTGGGCAGTCATTTTTTTTTCTTTTTCTTTCTTTCTTTTTTTTTCAAGTCAGTTAACAGTCACTCAATGGGCCATTGATTCTGGATCTTAAGTGACTTTCTTTAATTAGTCATGAATCAGAAGAATCAGTACTTCAAGATCACTGTTTCCCCTTTTCAAATTTCACGTTTAAGGACTGAAAACAGGGGAGAGGGTAATAGCTCAGTGGTAGAGAGCATGCCTAGCATGTACGAGGTCCTGGGTTTAATCCCCAGTATCTCTATTAAAATAAATTCAAAAATAAAAATAGTAAACAATGTAAGTCAAGATGATAAGGTTTCAAGCAGCTCAATACACTTGAGCCCTCCCTCATCTGTTGGAAAATTTCCTAACAAATATCCATCCTGCCTGCATTCTATATATATTCTACATGCATCGCTACTGAACAAAGCAGGATTGAAGTTGGCTGGATGTCAGCAAGGTGGTTAAAACAGGCTGGTGGAGAGTGCCCACGACCAGGTTAGGCAATATTTAACTCCGGTTGGAATTTCTCAACAAAGGGTCAGAGTTTCAAGGGGATCCTGAAGGAGAGTTTAACTGTAGCTTTAGGGCTCCAGTGTGCTGAGAGCATTATTTCTCTTACCAGCAAAACCTCTGCTGTGCTCATGGAAATCTACAGAAGTTAATGGATTCACATATAAGTACCTTGCTCTTCATTTCATGTCCTTTTATTTAGTGCCTCTCCATATTTTTTAATTTTAATTTTTAATTGCGGTAAAATACACATGCCATATAATTTACCATCTTAACCATTTGTATGTGTAGGGCTCAGTAGCATTAAGTACATTCACATCATCGTGCAACCAACTTTCAGAACGCTTGTCGTCTTGCAAAACAAACTTTGCACCCATTCAACAACCTTCCATTTCCTTCTCCCTTGCAGCCCCTGGCAACCACCATTCTACTGTCTGTCTCTATGGATCTGACTACTTTAGGTACTTCGTATAACTGGAACCATACAGTGTTTGCCTTTCTGTGTCTGGCTTATTTCACACAGCATCATGTCCTCAAGGTTCATCCCTGTTGGAGCATGTGTCAGAAATTCCTTCCTTTGAAAGGCTGAATAATATTCCATTGCATGCATAGACCAAATGTTGTTTATCCATCCATCCACTGATGGACACTTGGATTGCTTCTACCTTTTGGTTCTTGTGAATAATGCTGCTATGAACACGAGTGTCATCAAATATCTCTTTGAGACCTGGCTTTCAATTCTTTTGGATGTATATCCAAAAGTGGGATTGCTGGATCATATGATATTTCTATTTTTAATTTTTTGAGAAACTGCCATACTGTTTTCCATTCTCTTCTCTATTTTTCACAGCATTTAAATCCTGTCAAACTTTCTGTTCTCCCTGTGGGACAATCATGTGGATATAAAGCATTTATTGCCCAAGGCGGGTATAGTGTGGAAGCAACTGACATATAAAATTTGGAGAACTGCCATAAAAAGACAAAGTAGGCTGTGTGTCCAGTTTAGAGTTCTACACAGTTCATTCAATAAATATTTATTATATAGATAAACAACAAGGTCCTACTCTACAGCATGGAGAACTACATTCATTTGCTTATAATAACCTGTAACTAAAAAGAATATGAAAAAGAATACATGTGTGTAACTGAGTCACTATGCTGTACACCAGAAACTAACACAACTATACTTCAATAAAAATAATTTATTATGTATCTGGTACACAATACATGCTGAGCCTAACCAGATACTCTCTGCCTTGAAGGAGCTGACAGCCCAGTGGAAGCCCACTGGCCAATTACAACATGTGTCTCCACAAGGACAGAAACCACCGCAAGGGACACACGAAGCAGGCACACAGACACCAAGTCCGGGCTTCCTGTCATCTGGCCAGCTCCAGTTACCTCCTCACTGCCTTCACTCTGATTCACGTTACTTCGTAGCGGGCTCATATTCTAGTACAGATTTCAGCAAGATATTCCCATTTTCCAGCTTAAAGCCCTCCAGAGGTTCCCCTCCACTCTCCCAAGGTCCCTGGCCAAGTAATGAAAACCCCCCTTCCAGCCTCTCTGCGATTCCGTTGAATCCCCGACAAGCACGGCCCCCGTCACAGGCCTTTGCTCCACTAGCTCCCCAAGCCCGGCCTCTTTCTCAGCACGAGTGGTTCTCACTCCTGATTGCAAATCTTCATCATCTGGAGAAATTCAACAGCAAAAACAAAAACTATGTCGGGGTCTCACCCAAGAGAGAATGAATTAGAATCTCTGAGGACGGGCCTGGGTATTTTTCAGCTCTCCAGGTGACTGTGATCTAAACAGGAGCTGCCATCAGTGTCCTGTACACCCAGGCACAACCCCTGTCCCACAGCAGAGTTGACCAAGCACCACTGCCATCCACCGGCCCAAAGGCAGTTCCCGTCCTGCTCGTAGACTGAACGCACACAACCTCTCTGACTTCAGATTTGGCTGGATGAGCCTCATTAAATAAGGAAATATTAAAAATATCTGCTGTGTACAACTCACCTGAGAACCTTCTCTACAAATTACAACTGGTGATTGCAATGTTTTAAGTGTCACAATGCACCCAAGTCCCCGTATTTGTTCCCACACTTACCCTCTAATGGCAGAAGGCAATATAAGTTGAGCAACTCTATGCGCCTTATACACTCCTGTCATCTCAGTCCTCACAACAACCCTGAGACAGGTAGAGGGCTTATCTCCGCCTTACAGATGAGGAAACCTGTTAAAAACATCAAATATTTGTGCACTGGTTTTATACATGGTGCATATTAAATTAATTTTTTTTTATTGTCAGCCTTCCCCACAACACCAAAGAAAAATGATGTCTGTTTTAGTCACTGACACACACCTGGCCAACGCTTACCATTACTCAACAAATATTGTTTCGTTAAGTGAGAAAAAAGCATCCAGGATACTCTCTCTCCTCTCTGCTTGTGAGCTTCATTCTTTTCATCACAGACCGGCTTGCTTGTACCTGTTGCATCTAAGCCCAGGGCCCCTCAGCTTCTTCCACAGGAGGCCAACCTCACCTCAGTTTTAGTTTAGAAAATCATTTACAGATAGTCTAGATCAAAAAAAAAAGCAGCAGCATGGTGCCTACTGTCCTACTATGAGCTCATCAAGTGGGTTCCAGGAGTCAAGCCATTTGGAGATAAGGAAGGTCTAGACAGTACAGTTCCCAGGACGGGGTGTTGAGCATGTTGTGGGGGGGAATCCAACATCCAAGATTAATGAGAATTAAATGAGATAGTCCTTATAAAGTCCTTAGAATTATGTCACACACTACGCCTGACTGACAACTACACAGGGCCACAATGAGAAGGTTTACATATTATCTCCCATACCAGGCACTGTTCTGGAGCAAGGGGTCAGCAAACTTTCTCTATAAAAGGCCAGACAGTAAATACTTTAGGCTTGGCAGGCCATCCAACCTCTGTATGGCATACTCAACTCTACTGTTTTCGGAGCAGGGACAGCACGCATAGACAATACATAAATGAATGGATATGGCTCTGCTCCAATAAATCTCTTCTCCAAAGACAGGCAGCCTGAATTTGGCTGCAGGCCATAGTTTGCTGACCCCTTTCTAAGACAGTGGTGTCCAATAGCAATATAATACAAGCCGGAGATATAATTTTAAAATTTCTAGTAGCCATGTGGAAAAAAATAAACAAGTGAAATTAATAATACATTCTATTGAACCCAGTGCATCCCAAATACTGTCATTTCAACATGGTGATATAAAGAAATTAAGATTGTTTACATTCTCTTTTTCATACTAGTTCTCCAAAACTCGCTGTTTTACACTTAATGCATATCTCAATTCAGACCAGACACATTTCAGGTGCTCAATAGCCTTATGTAGCCAGTGGCTATCATATTGGACAACACAGTTCTGCAACATACACTGGTATAGATAATGCTGAGATACACACCTATACCCCTAGCTTCTGAATACATAACAAAAAATAGGATTTATATAGTACCAGCAAGAGCAGGCCCTAAACATCGATTGACTGAATGCATATAATAGCTTGTACATGTTAACTGATATTAAAGTATATAGACAAAGTGCACATCCACACACATTTGGCCTAAACCCTGAGTAAAGATCAAAGAGAAGTTTCCACAGGCTGGTAACAAATCAGCAACAAGCTAGATCTGTTTGGATCTTTACATCTCTCTAAAATCTGAAGAGAAATTTTACGTTTCTAGCCACACACAGCCCACATACACCCTCTAGCTACACAGGAAGCTCCCTCCTCTAGAGAGAGAAATGCCAAATGTTAGAGGCGGCGCCGTTCCTGAAGTCACTCAGTACTGCGCTAGGGCACTTTCGCTTTATGGCGATCCCTAACAAAGGTACAGCGAGGGGACGGGACCAGCGCAAGGGCCCACTCTGGCCCAGGTCAGGGTTTCAGTGGGTGGGGTGGAGCGACAAGCAGAGCCTGCTGCAAGCCGTCCGACGGTGACAGCCTGAGACCCAGCACACACGCAGCGGAGGCCCCGAGGACCCACCCCGCCCATCTAGGCTGGAGGAGAGGGGAGGGCAAGGACATGTGTGGGCCTACCCGGCCCTGGGCGCAGCGAGAGCCTCCCCGAGCAAGGTGGGCTTCCACTGGGAACAAAGGCTCGGCTTTCTGCAGAAGCAAAGACGCCGCCGAACCCTGAGCACTGCTCACGGAGAAGCGCGAGGGAACCCCGGGAGCCCTCGGAGGCCCCCGCGTCCAGAGAGAACTTCCGGTTCTGGGGCGGGACCACGGAGGCTCAACCCACCCTAACCCAGACTGGAGAACACACGACTTTGCGCATGCGCGCTAAGGAAATAGCGCCTGCGCAGAGCGGTTGGCAGGCGAACCGCCCCCAAACCCGCAGTTCCCAGGAGACGTCATTTGGGCGGGGACCGGCGCAGGGGCGGGCGCGGGCGGACCGCTCCAGTGCCTGAATGGAAACAAACTAGCCCGGCTGTTGTTTTTGAGCAGCAAAGTCTGTTGAACTACTCAACAACGTATCGTTTCTGCTGCCAGTCAAAAGACTGCTCAGCTAAAATCGACAAAACTTTGGACAAAAATGTGAATTAGTTAATGCTGTAATTAATTCAACAAGTATTTATTGTACCCCTCACAAGAATCAGTTGATAGGAAAGTAGAAGACATACATTAAGTAGCCTTGAACATCCTGCACTTCTTACCTGTACACATTCTTTCCCTGCAAGGGTCCAATAAATCCAAAGTGATGGTAGAACGAGAGAAGGTAGCAGCCTTCTTTGCTGATCCCCTAGTATATAGGCAGATTTAAGGAAGCAGGGCTTTGCTCTGCATTGGATGCTGTCAGGAAGCAGAGTGATAAGCAATGTAGTAAACTTTACCTAGTAGGAAAGACACGATCGAGACTAAAGCTGTAATTAGTAAAGAAGCTACAGCGACTCCCTTTTAAAAACTGTTGAAATACTGCAGGTTAATCCCGGATATAACCTAAGAGACTGGTTTCAAAAGGCTATTGCTATAAGACTGTTTCTATCACAAGAACGAAGCGAGACACCTATTATAAATCTAACTTATTGAACAGGCTGGGCTTTGTAGCATGTAAGAAGAAACTTTTTTTTTTTTCTCACCATTGCCTTGAAACAACTTCTGTCTGCTCTCTACTGCCCCTTGGCTGCTCTAGGGTTGGAACTTGAGGCTTGAGCAAATCCCACAGCTTTTCTTTTTTCTTCCTTCTGCTTTTACTGAGATATAACTGAAATACAGCACTGTGTAAGTTTAAGGTGTACAGCATAATGACTTGACCTATATACATCATGAAATGATGAACACCAGTAAGTTAGTGAACATCCATCATCTCACATAAACACAAAAGAAAAAAGAAAAACATTTTCCTTGTGATGAGAACTCTCAGGATTTACTCTGAACAACTTTCAGGTTTAACA